ATCATCTTTTTTCATATTTAATGGTGAGAATAGTAGGCCTAGGTGACACAAATATAAATTTTAGCAAGGTAGGTGTTATCTTCAGTTAAGGCAGTTTTATTTTTTTAATAGGGTGGATGGCCTTTGGAATGGGTTGCCTTCAGATGTTGTAGAGGCAGTAAATTTAAGTGAGTTTAAGAAAAAGCTTGATAACTATATGAGTGAGAAGGGCTGGCTTTAAGATTTTTTTTTCTAATTTATTTATTAATAGTTTTAGTTTAGCTTAGAAGATGGAACAGCCAAGATTGACCAATAGGTACCATATTGTTCCAAAACGTTATGTTATAACTTGTTACCTTAACAATATCATGTTAGTTAGTAAGTTAGCTATACTTTCTTGTTAGCAGCCAGGTTACGGGTACCAGTCTCTAATACTGGGTTTCAACTATTAGCTGCTTGCAGTGAGTAAGAAGGAAATGACCAAGAAGTTTACATAGAGGAAACACTCCCATTGTGTATACTGATAAAGTTGTTGTACTATTTAGTGGGAAGAATGTAAAAAATAAACTAGAATTTGCTTATGCTGAAGTACAGGACATTATGGAGCATCTTAATAGTTTAGTTGTTGGTGCTGAAGAGCATTTTATTTTTGTAGTATATGTAGGAATCACTGATGTTGGAAACTAAATCAATAGAGCTTCTTAAAATGTATAAATTACCTCTTCATAGGTTTATCGATAGAAACTTCTGTTCAATGAGCTTCCTATGGCTAGATGCAGGAATGAATTACATATCAGGATCTATGTTTTTTCAGTACACTTCATATTCAGTGATAAGTGTTCATTTTCTGTTCTCAGAATAATAGAATCTGTTGTCTTTAAGCTAAGAAAACCAGCTCTTATTCAGAAGAAGAAGAGATTGTTACCTCTAAATCTACAAATGTAAAGACAATAATATAACATGAACTTCAATTGTTAGAAGGATCCAACATTAAAATGATATGCTTAAAGATCTGTGGAATAGTTTTTAGGGTAAGGGTGAATTTTATATTAGAGATGGGTTCTATTAAATTAGGTTGTGGGACGTTTAAGGAAGTTCTAAGTATATTCAATAAAGATAATTTACACCACACTTGTATATTAATGAATAAGTGAAATTTTAGTTCCTAGTTTTTGAAAAACCAATTTTGGACAAGATTTATTATTAATGAGTTGGTATAATAACTTAATAGATGATGTGGAATAAATTTGGGAACTTTTAAACAATAAACAGTTTTTACTTTGAGATACGCAGGTTCCTAAAGAAAAGATAACTGGGAAAATCAAAGCTTACTAAAGATGTAAAGGAAAATATTGTTTAAACTGACAGAAAAGTGGAATATTGACAGAACTATATGAAAGCTAGGGATTTGCTTTGAAAATAAATATGAAGTTTGAAAAAAGGGCTATGAGAAAGAGCTGATAATGTAAAACATAATTTATTTTTATCTATACTAAAGTTAACCAAAATAGTAATTGGGTTCCTAAAGGATGCTGTTTTAATGGGACAGGATATAATCAATATTCCTGACCGTGAGCATTTGATAGGAAATACTGGAATTGTTGTAACATAACATAAAATTTATAGAATACAAGGGACCTATTGGTCCATCTAGACTGTCCCACCCACTAAACTAAACCATATAAAAAAGCCAGTATTTATTATTACACCTTACTCTAAAAACCTGACGAATAAATGACTTAAATAGAATAGAAAATAATTACAATTCACGTAATCTTTATATCATGGTATCCCAGATGCATTATGTTGCACACATAATCTTTATATTATGGTATCCCAGATGCATTATGTTGCACACGTAATCTTTATATTATGGTATCCCAGATGCATTATGTTGCACACGTAATCTTTAGATTATGGTATTCCAGATGCATTACATTGCGCACGTAATCTTTAGATTATGGTATCCCAGATGCATTACGTTGCACACGTAATCTTTAGATTATGGTATTCCAGATGCATTACCTTACACACGTAATCTTTAGATTGTGGTATCCCAGATGCATTATCTTACACACGTAATCTTTAGATTATGGTACCCCAGATGCATTACATTGCACACGTAATCTTTAGGTTATGGTATCCCAGATGCGTTACCTTGCACACGTAATCTTTAGGTTATGGTATCCCAGATGCATTACGTTGCACACGTAATCTTTAGATTATGGTGTCCCAGTTGCATTACGTTGCACACGTAATCTTTATATTATGGCATCCCAGATGCATTACCTTCCACACATAATCTTTAAATTATGGTATCCCAGATGCATTACCTTTCACACATAATCTTTAGATTATGGTATCCCAGATGCATTACCTTTCACACATATTCATTAGATTATGGTATCCCTAATGCATTACCTTTCACACATAATTTTCAGATTATTGTATCCCAGATGCATTACCTTGCACACGTAATCTTTAGATTATGGTACCCCAGATGCATTACATTGCACACGTAATCTTCAGATTATTGTATCCCAGATGCATTACCTTGCACACATAATCTTTAGATTATGGTATCCCAGATGCATTACCTTTCACACATAATCTTTAAATTATGGTATCCCAGATGCATTACCTTTCACACATAATTTTTAAATTATGGTATCCCAGATACATTACCTTTCACACATAATCTTTAAATTATGGTATCCCAGATACATTACCTTTCACACATAATCTTTATATTATGGTATACCAGATGCATTACCTTTCACACATAATCTTTAAATTATGGTATCCCAGATGCATTACCTTATTTTAATTAAAACTCATCTCCAAGTTATTCACCCAACTCACCAAATAATCCAAATCCTTCTGTAAAGTAGTAGTGTTCTTCTCATAGCCAGTGACACCAAAAACTTTAAATATCCTATTAACCATTCCTTCATCCATCACTGATGTAAAGCAGATGTCCTAACACTGAGCTCTGGAGCACTTCACTTGTGATGTTAATCAAGTTTGATTGAACTTTTTTTATAACAACCTTCTAGTTTCTTACATCCAACCACTTTCTATTCAGTGAGCTAACCTATTCCCCACACCTACAGAGATAATTTTCTAACAAGCTCTTTATGTGGCACTTTGTCAAATGTCTTCAGATACACCAAATCCACATTGACACCCTTATCTATGTAAGCACTAACCTCTTCAAATAATTTCAAAATATTTGTAAGACAAGATTTTCCCCCTAGTGAAACTGTGTTGGTTATCTAACAAAATTTTAAACTTTGTTAAATTTCTTTGAAAAGCATCTTTTATCAGACCTTACATTTTTTTCCCACCACTGCTGTAAGACTAGTAGACCTATAATTATCTGAACACTTTGTTATAACCTCCCCCCCCCACACACACACACCTGAAAAAAAAAGGAGTAACCTTAGCCAACTTCCTATAGCCCACTATTTAAGGACTTAGAGAAGTGATAGCAAGGGCTCACATATCTATCCTTAATCTCCTGCAAAACCTTTGGGAAATATTGTCTTGCCCAAGAGACTTATCATTCTTAAAATTTACCAGTTTTTTTATTAACCAGTTTAGAAGTAATTTGATCATCTGGTTTGATTTTATTTTCATTTGTGAGGTAGAAAATTTTACTTTTATTTTGTTTTGGTTTTGTTTATTTATTATTACTTCTATTGTTTAGTTATATTAACGTACCAACTCATCTTCTAGCTATAGCACGTTGAATTTGTTTATGTTTGTATTATAAAACTGACACAAGCTACTCTAGTGGTGAAATATAGATATTAATGTTCTAAAATATTATGTAAATGAGCTAGTCACATGATGTAATCTTGTGGCCTAACCACTAAATATAAATCTTTCATTGATCTTAAACGAGTTAGTTCATGAGATATAGTTAGAATGAATTATTGATTATTACTTGACATTGTTATTGATCTTGAGAAATGGTTTACTTTTGGAATATTGTTTTTTAAATTAGGTTTTTATTCTTCTTTTTCCTAATTCCTTTATTTTTTGAAATTAATAACATTGATATTGTTACGTATCTGCTCGTTTGTTAATTTCCGGTATAAATTCTTTCCGAGGAACTTCGGTGACACAAGTCCTTTCCTAATTAAAACTAGTTTATTCTTTCTCGATAGAACTTTGTAATACACAGAATTTCCACAGTCAATACGTTTGCAATCTTGATAACAAAACACACACACACACACTTTATATTACCTTCACTACCGCTCGCTTGACTCAATTATCTGTTTCTATATCTATCTATCTATGTATCTCTGCCATTGCACTGGTTTTTCTCACCAGGCTTATATACTAAAAAAGAGGGTGCCTGGAACAAACTAGAGTTGCCAGAAAAATTCATGATCCATTGAGAAACTCCAGCGTGCATGCTCCCAGCATTGCGTGACTTTCGCTGTCGTAACAATATTAAGATCTTGGGTGTTGCTAGCTATGAAGAGGATGCTGCTGATTTACAAGAGGATTTATATGATTTAGTGAGTTGGGAAAATAAATGGTAGATGGGTTTTAATTATAATAAATCCAAGTTAATACACGTGGGTTATCATAAATTGAATTATAGGTATAATTTGGATGGGAATAAACTTAACAGTGTTATGAAAGAAAGGGATTTTTGTGTTATAGTTGATCAGTCTGTAAAGCCATCCAAGCAGTGTGCTGTTGCTAATGGTAAGGCATATAGGATTTTAGGTTATATCTACAAAAAATATTGAATACAAGTCTACAGAGGTTGTAATTTCATTGTAGAGGTCACTAGTTAGGCCACATTTGGAATATTGTGTTCAGTCTTGGGCTCCTTACCTTAGGAAGGACATTGAATTAATAGAAAGGGTTCAAAGAATGGTTACTAAAATATTGCCTAGGATGGAAGGGTTGTCATACGAGGAGAGGATGAATTTTTCAAATTGTTTTCTCTTGAGAAAAAAAAAGGATGAGTTAGGGGGGATCTGATTGAGGTGTGTAAGATTGTAAAGGGAATTGGTAGTGTTAATGCATCATGTTTTTTCATACTTAACAGTGAGAATAGTAGGACTAGGGGACACAGATATAAATTTTGGCAGGGTAGGAGTCATCTTCAGCTAAGACAGTTTTATTTTTTTAACAGAGTGGTTGGCCTTTGGAATGGGTTGCCTTCAGATGTTCAGACTGTTGTGTAAGCTGGTTTAAAACTTTTAATATACAGTTGAATATGTACCATTTGTATATAGACTAGTGTGTATTATGAGGTTTACTAATATTATAGGGAATTTCATAAAAATTTAGAAAGTTCCATATATTTAAATGGTTCTCAAAATTTTGTTCGATGGTCCCTGACAAATTGTTTTAAATACTAACCAAAACTGAATATTAAATACCCAATGTGATTTACTATTGTAATATAAGGCTCTACTAATGAGAACATTTTTGTCATTTTATAGGGCTTTTTTCGACTATCAACAAACAACTGTGAGAAAAATATGGCAATCCAGGTAAAGCCAGGAGAGAATCTGTTTACATCTCAGGTGGCCGGAGGCTGCACGGACTTTGCCATCAATTTGTATCAGGCAATTTTACTTGAAAGTCCAAAACAAAACATCTTTTTTTCTCCAGTTAATATTGCACTATCGTTAGGCATGACTTTAGCTGGTGCTAAAAACAAGACAGCAGAACAGATAAGAAATGCTCTAGGATTGTCTAGTTTGGCTGAAGATGAGATTCACCATGGTTTCAGAGAGTTGCTGCTAGTGTTGAAAAAGGAAGAGGAGGGAAACTTGACACTTCAGCTAGAGAATCGTATTTTTGCTCAGACTGGGATGAATATTCAGAGCAGTTATAGTTCTGCTTTAGAAATGTTTTATGATAGTGATCTTGGTAGTGTTGACTTTCAAAAGGATCCAAGTGGCTGTACGAGCCATATCAACTCCTGGGTAGAAAAGGCCACAAAAGGAAAGATTAGCGATTTGATTACAGAAGGTCTCATCACTTCTCTAACTCGAATGGTTTTGACCAGTGCCATTTACTTTAAAAAAAAGTGGGCTCAAGAATTTGCTAAAGAAGCTACCCACAGGAAATTGTTTTACATTTCTGAAGATGAAACTGTAAACGTTCACATGATGTATCAGAAACATAGTTTTCGATATGGAGTGAGTGAAGAACTGAGCTGCTCGGCCTTAGAATTGCCTTACGAAAATGGATTTGTAAGCATGGTTATTCTTCTTCCTCATGCCATAGAAGGACTGGGGGTTCTAGAAAAATCTTTATCTATTAATGCAATTAAAGAATTGATTAAAAATATGGTTAAAGGAAATGTTCATGTTTGGTTACCCAAATTTCGTCTTGAGGAAAAATTATCCATGAAGAAACAACTTACAAGAATTGGGATAGAAGACATGTTTCAAGATGAAAAAGCTGACTTGTCTGGAATAACTGGACAACAGGACCTATTTGTGGGAGCAGTGGTTCACAAAAGCTTCGTAGATGTCAGTGAAGAGGGTACTGAAGCTGCTGCAGCCACGGGAATTGTCTTACAGAAACGCTCCTTGCCGATTAGAGAAGTAGCAGAATTTAAAGCTGATCATCCTTTTCTGTTCTTGATTCTAGAAAATAAGTATAAGTCAGTCTTGTTCATGGGAGCCTTCAAAAACCCTCCAGTTTCTGATCAAGTTGAGGGTGAACGTTGAACTACACTTTATTGTATCTTAGATTTCTGTTTATTTATTTCTACTTGATTCCAAGGTTAGTGTGTAATTGGAATTCTACATAATTAGTAATCTTGCAATGTAGCAAAAAATGATTAATCAAGTATCAAATTAATGAAAGCAAAAAGAAAACACTGAAATGGATTGACATATTTTTGTTTAGTTTATAATAAGCAATTTTTCTAGTGATTTTGATGTACCATAACTTTATTTGTACCTTTTTTAAAGTACTTTAGGTTATGAAGTAAATATAACAAACATGTTTCAAGGTTTTTATCAGGTGACTAATTACTCTCTATTAATTTGTCAAGTGGATATGTTTTCTTTATACATATTGTTACG